AACTCAATTTCAGGTTTGCAACTTTAAGAAATATTTCCACTTCGAACGATATGAGAAGATTCTTATGTTGGTACGCATGGTTTCTTACTTGCATATATTCGCAAGGAATTTGTCATTAATAGATTGCGAATTTTTATCCAAAATTCATATCTTTGAGAATATAATTAAAACAGAAGAACTCCCGTAGAAAATTGTTTTACCTACCAGCTGTTATAGAAATTGTTATACTTTGAATATTTTATATATTTTCGTATTACATGTACCTATGTACATTCTGTGGAATTTTGCGCTTTCAAATTCCCTATAAATGCATAAATATCCGCAGTCGTTAAATTAGAAATCATGTAGCAATTTTTAACGTTTCGCTTCTATACTAAACATCATTTTAAAGCAGCACCACTCTTCCGTCTGCTAAAACGGGAACAGAATTGAAATATAAAAATTCTATGATCATAGTAGGGTTAAAGCCAGCGTGCTTCGGCGCATGGCATGCAATGTCCTCCACAACTGAAATTACTCTAGAAATACGACGTTGTTGAATAATACACTGAAGCAATTTCCCTTAGCAGGTAAATATGAAACAGATACCTGGAGAAAATTTGACGAATTTCGTATTTTCTCTACCTGAAAATTCGTTATAACAAGACATATACTTTTCAAGCGGGCATCCATGAAGAGATACTTTCGTAACGAGAGGGCATAAATACTACATAAACGACGACGAAACAACTTCCTTAGTAAGTATTTGGAAAAAATTTCAACAACTTCAATTTTTCTCTATATGAGAATTCGATATAGACACATGTATCCTCTTTAGGCAGGATTTCATGGACAGTTTGTTTCGAAACGAAGGTACACAAGTACTATATAGACGATACTGTTGAACAATAACTCTACGTAACTTCTCTCGATAAGTAACTACTTAGAGGAAATTTTAAAAACTTCGCTATTTCTCTATCTAAGAATTCGATATAACAAGACGTATTGTTGTCAGGCGTGCTTCCATAGAGAGATTATTTCGAAACGAAGGAACACGGATACTACATATATAGAGTCAGGCAGGCAGACTACGGTGGTGGCGAGTTTCGATGGGACGCCAGAGTTCGTCGTCCGCGCAACACACGTATTTCGATGCGTGTAAAAGAGCGTGGATAGAGGGTCGGGCGAATCGTGCACGTAGAGAGACGCGCGCGCGCACTCACACGCAAAACGAAGCATCGTTACGCGAATGTAATATATAGGATATACGAAGGGAAGCACGCAGCCAAACGAGGGACACACGCGCGCGTACACGGCGCCCGTAAATCCAGCGATCGACTTTTTGCTACTAGGAAGACACCGAGGCGTACACGCGAAAAACCAATCACGAAATCCAGCCGAAATCTTTGTTCGAATAATCGTAGCTATTAAAGACTCACCTGAATCGCCATACACATTGAATATGGAAGGTACGGTGGGGCGTTCGTTAGCGAAAACGCGACTCCGTAGGTGACAGAACACACCAAATACTCACGTGCGTCCACACGCTATGAAAGCCTGTGAACAACTGACGGAAGTGGGCGAAGAAGGCCGTTAGGTGGCTACATCGATCCTCTCGCGCGACTTGTTCGAGTATTGAGTGGCGCCATATTCAAATGTCAGCTACGTGATTGCTAATTTATCGCGTAATGACTAAATAAATCATTTGACAAAATTGAAATAAATCAACACTTTAACTCTAGTTTCAATCACAATTCGATCATTTAACTACAAAAAGGGCAGTATTCGCTAGAACCAACCAATTAACGAACTAAAATACATATGTCGCGTAGCTAATGAGAGATATAAATACGCAGGTTTAACAGTTTTCAAAACATTTATTCATTGTAAATACATTGTTTGTGCCTTACTTCTGAAAGAAGGAAAAAAAAAACTGTTAAGTTTCGACGAACGGAGGAAAAGACAATGTCCCGATAATAATATCTACATTATCATCTTTTCGCCTGCTGATAAAACGCAAAACGAAAATTACACGAACCCTAGTACGGCTCACAATCTGTATTTGTTCCATATGTAAGGAAGAGATTCGGTGTTCGATATGAAAACAGAATGTTCACCTCAGGAAAAAACAGCTTTCTTCGACCGCGCACGCACGATATATTCTCTATCATAAGGGGTTTAAAATTATATATATTTATATATAATACTCGAGGAAACGATAAATCATTTTTGACAATACGAGATTTTGTTCTTATGTCTAACATTATCTTCATATATTTATTTATAATATATATAATATATCTTTGTCTCTGCAAATTCACGGTCATTCTTCATCACCATTGATTTCCTTTTGCCACTTGTACCATCGTCAGAGCGTTCCTTATGAATTACGTTTTATTTTTTTTTTTTTAATCTTTCGTTTTTTAAGGCAATGTTATTTCAAGTGTTCTTTCTTTTTTTACACCGTTTCGCGAATTACGAAATCGGTCGCGTCTAAATCATTCTCTGCATTATGATCGGTATATCAAAATGACTGCTTTCTGTTGCTTCGTTTTTCCTCTGTTTTCTAGGGTGGCCGAATACATTCGTTTATGTAATTTTATTCGCTCGCTACGCGACTAAATTTAAGCAACCTTTGCTGTGTGACACAAGAATTTCTATAATATATAATAATCGTAACAAAGTAACGTATGGTATGTGTGTGTAGGGGGTGTTCGTGTGCGATATGTACCTATGCGTGTGTGTATGAAATGGCATGGCATTAACACGTATCAAACTGTTGGAATCCGACTGAAATGCTTTCGAAAGTCACTGACGCTTTATCGAACAAACTCTCCATTTCCATCTTTCTGAACCATTTCCCTCTCACAATTGTAATATCGATTATCTTCATTTACGATATTTCCTACTACTTTGTCTCGAAATACAGCTCCATTGAGATATCAATTGGCTGCTCAAGGTCACTTTTCCTACCATCGTACAGCCAATTTTTCTTATTACGATTTCGTTAACTTATTCTATTACATCAATTATGTGTGACGATTGTATGTGTAAATAAAGTGTACTTTAATTTTAACATTGAATTTTTATTTTTTAATAATCAAATAAAATATGAACAAGTAAGAAAAAATAACCGAATATAATAAAAAGAACATAATATAACTTTTTCTACAAGATAATATAACAATATAATTTTACAGATTTATCTAAACATTTTTATTAGTACGTTTTGTAAATATGATTCTCCTAATGCCAACAATTGCACGAAGTATTCTGGATAAATAAGAAGGGAAATGTGAGTTTCACGATGCAAGAAGTACAATAATAAGCCAAGGGGATGAAAAGTACAAGTGTAGAGTGTACGGATATGGAATAGTGTAATAAAATAAACGATCTACTATATAATTTTTCTCGATGACCTTCAACAGCCGATCAACTTCACACATGCTATAACACACGGCGACGCTGGAGGCTTGACTTTTCCATTCGCTGTTATGCTCGTAGAAAAGATTTCATTAATTGTAAATACCATATAATATTCAAGAAAATCTGTTCTGCGAGCACTGTGAACATAAATTATTGACACTCCATCCATTCATCGCACGCATTTCGAGATCTTTCTTAACTGTTCATTGTTGCGAAACATTCGAAACTACGTATACGTTCTCAAATTTCATTTTTCTATGAGCTTTTATAATTATAATACCTAATCTCTGAATCTCATAATTTACGAAGCTTTGCCTTCGTATTCTCATCTCTGCATTCGCAAGCAAACACGTATTGCTTTTTATTTCTTTGCCTCTATATTTTCACAAACCTTAGCTAGAGCTTTCGACTCACAGTCACGTATCACCATTCAAGAACCGTTCGACCAAAGAAAAGAAGAGAATTAACTTAAAAAAAAAAAAAAAAAAAAAAAAAAAAAAAAAAAAAAAAAAAAAAGAAAGAAACGAAAAGAACATCCTTGTATCGTTCTGCTTACACATTATGGTCCCTACAAAAAATACATTACATCTATAAGCAGTTTATATTAATCATTGTAATAGTCAATATCTATGTACACAATATTTCTTCTTTAATTTATTAATTCTTGTCGCTATGTTAGAACTTTCTACCTAATACTTAAAACGCTTTCTCCATATGACATTTTTTTTACGTTCGACGCTTTCCTTTTCATTTCAATTAATAATGTATATTAGCTTGTGGGAATGTGTTAAATACAGCAAATACAGTACGATCGAATCGATTAAAAGAAAACATCCGCTACGAAATAAACATACACGCTAAATTAAACTATGAGTATACTAGCGGTAGAGAGTAAAAAGCCCAGCGATATAATTACAGTAATCATGATAATACTAATAATATTAGTAATAACAATAACAATAACGATATGACATTGCAAAAATTAATCCGACAACGAGTTAGCTGTACGATAAAAATATTGGAACGGAATTTTAAATGTATCAAAGAAAAAAAAAAAAAAAAAAAAAAAAGAAAAAATAGAAAAAGAAAGGAAAGAAATTCTGAGGATACGATTCATCATAAAACGGTATATACGAGAAAGACTTCCGTAAAAATATTTAAGTAACACGATGGAAAAATTGTGCGAGTCGCGCGATCAAAATCGTTCGTTCGTTCCATAACGTTCGCCATAAATCGTACAAAACGATGCGTCTTATATTAGAAACAGAACGTCGTCGTGTCAATGGCGACCACCGTAAAATCCTATTAAATCGTATAATATATTTATATTTATATTTATATATATATATAATTATATTACATTATATATATATATAATTATAATGCACGTTACCACGTGTTCATTTATCTCTCGATTGCTCGTTATAAATCGCTCTAACTATTATAATTCCCTATGTACAGTTGTAGCGTCTCCGTGAATGCAATTATTATTAATATTTCTCCTGTGAACAATCTCGCATCTTTCATTCTCGACGAAACGTGTGAATTGAACTGAATTTGATTCGACTTGTTTAACTCTTCTTTTTTTTTGAACATTTTAATCTGCATATTCTCACATCTTCCGTTTTTCTCTTCTTCTTCTCCTTCTTCTTATTCCTCTGCTTCTTCTTCTCTTTTCCTTCTTCTACTTGTCCGTCTTCTTTTGTGTTTTTCTATTCACAGCACTTTTTTCCCTTTTTGTTTATAATCCACATGTATACGAGAGATCCGTCCGACAAAATCAATCGTTCGACAGAGAGATTCATATCACAAAGTAGGTATAGTATTAGTATTAATACGTAAGTTGCTTTGTAGTAATTAATGTAGTTAGGAGAGAGATCATCACGGCCTCGAGAACGTTTCGAACGATGAAGTTCGTCGTACGGATTCGCCATTTTGCAAACATCAAAATTGCCTCTAAAATATAATATATGTATGTATGTATAATATAGGTAGCGTGTGTAACTACACTTCGAAAAATTGACAGTGATGGGCCAAACAGCGTGCGAGATATAATATCGTACATAGGTAAGTGTGTCTGCATTAACGTAAGTAAATGCTACGACGACGTCAGCATAATAGATTATTTACTTATTTATTTTTTTTCGAGACTGTGTAAAATTAACTCTATATACCCTTCGTTCGTTTATTTCAATATTTTTTAATCGAATTAGATAGAAGCATTAGTAGAACGGTTTCGTACCCGAAGCGATAGGAGAAAAGAACAGTTTCAAATGATAGTTCATGCAAATGGCGTTGTTGTCCCTATATAACATCATCATTATTATTTGTTAAAATTTTTCTTTTGTAGAATCTTTTTTTTTAATTGTCTTCTTTCATCTTGCCTTAATCACTTCTAAAAGAAATTGAGCTGAAACGAGTTACTTTACATCATTCTCTTTTTGTTCGTTTCTTAGGCTAAGATTTCGTTCATTTTGCACTGATAGATATTTCATATTTGTATTATTATTTATAGCTTTCCTTCGATTCAGTTAACGCGCTATAAAATTTCTTTTCCTGAGTGAGTTTTTTTTAATATATTTCTTTCTTTTTTGTATTCTTTCGCTTGTTTCTCCTTCTCCTTTTTTTTTTTTCTTCATTCTTTTGTCACATTGAAATTGGATACAAGAAGCTTTCAGGTACAAAACAACAAGTAGTCTTCTCTCTAACAACGAGTGAGCTAAATTGTGTGTAATAAGCCAGGACTTGTCCGAGACACGTCTCTCAACGTGTTGTACAGTTAATTCCAATTGACCAACGATTTTGTTACACCAGCATTCTTTGACCGAAAATCTATAGCTTCCTGTTTTTCTTTCATCGCTTGGAAGCATAATTCATTTTATAATTCATTACATATTTCATTCCATAGAATAGCACAAGAAGTAACGCATGCGTCACGACGAAAAAGTCGCATCAACACTTCCGTTTTTTTATTTTGTTTTCTTCTTTTTTGTTGTTTAATTAATGCTAACGTTTTTTTCTGAAAGCTCTTAAAATAGTGCGTCGCTGATACCATAGTACTTAGGAGAAAACATATCAGAGATCAACGTGTCGCTTTGTTAAAAGCGTGATTCTTTCATTGATAATATAAGTGTTCTTTCAGAAACCAAAAGGAAACGAAAAGGAATAAAACGTACGCTACTACAAAGTTAAACTAATTTCATAAACGGATCAACGCTATTAAGTTCATTTAGTTTGTTTTTTGCGTGTTTTTTCCTTTACATTGCTAGGTTAAATTGACTACTTTTTTTTTATTTCTGAGAAAGCCTAATCTCTAGTTATAAAATAAATCGCAGCTCTCAATCTGCAATTATAATGATATTATTTATTATAGATCGTTAACTCTATCACTTAATTAATTATCTTTAAATATACGTTTGTCTAGTCTTGTATTTCTTAAGGCAGGAATTTTTATATTTACAGTTTTGTCCTTGTTGGCCTTTCTTCCTTTTTTCCTATTTTTTTTTCTTTTTCCTTTTTTTCTCTCTCTCTTAAATCGCGCAAGGCTCATTTTCCAACGGCGAAGGAAACTCGTCTCAGACAAAGAAAATCTTTCTTCGATCAAGATACAATACGTCTGTCTGAAACGAGCCTGATTATATTTTTTCACCTATTACGTTCCTATTTATTGACATATATATCGCATCACCGTAAAAATGTACATTCTAGTGATATTAGTTCCTAAAAATAGCCAAACCATCGAGACAAACCTGTGGCAAATTATTTCGCACGATAAACAATATCCTTCACGCAAATATAACCACTGTAAAAATATTTTCGATTCACTTGTATTCAAGAATATATAACGTATCTTGTATGTGTGTGTATGTAAAATTTACTTATATCTTCAACACAATTTAAATTTGTATCTGACGATGTACGGAACGATATAAGGTAATTCTTCGTCTTTCGATCTCTTTAAAAAAGTATATTAGCACCATATATGTATACAGAGATTATCGTTTCTTTCTTTCATTTAAAGTCATTCGTACCACTTTCCACCATTATTAATAGCGTTTCTTTTTTAGGATTGCAGAAATTAATAATGCACATGCGTTGTACATATTATTCCACTCTATATATACTGTATTCGTTTACCTGCGATCTCAAAACAATTTGCCACAGACTCACAATATCACCTTTTTGATATAATTCAATTGGATAGCCTCTAACACGAGTTAAACATTAAACGTTCCGTACAAGCTTGTCAGAGGGTTTACCGGTCAACGGTTTGACTTCTGTGTCCGGTTCTTCTAAAGCAAGGGGTGCTTGCCTTGTATCGGGAACATCGATATCATCGACATCCATTGCGTTCTTCGAACGACTTCCTATCTCCGTCGAATCTTGCGTCTGATTCGACGAGCCGGTGTCTTCTAGGTTCGTCGACTTTGTAGGCTCCGTAGGCGACGATATTGACGACGGCGTGGGCAATTCAGAATTTGGAGATGTGCCGTCTCCATCTCCGACACTGTGAAGATGCGGTTTTTCTTCGAATACTAAAAGATAAAACACGTATTTTGAAGCTGAACGATAATATGGCGACAAAAATTTGGAAAAAAATGGCATTGTCCTGGAAAAATGATAGTGGCTGACGAAAGTACTTGAAAAACTTGTACGGATATATTATCTATACTATACAGAACCTCCTGGAATTTTATTAACACTATAAGTATCATGAGAGCAGTGATAAAGTTTCAAACGAATTTGGTAATACACATAGAGATTACAAAGTACTTATTGCGAACATACATTTAGTAACAGTATTTGGTATGACTAGGTGTCCTACTTACATTTGTCAAGGCTGATAATTGACCCTACGAATTCGTTGACAGTAAAAGACGGTGCTTGATCTTCCATTTGCCTTCTCCTTCTAACTAACCACCAATCAACGAGGAACAGTGCCAAAGCTAAAATCTTAATGCCAGCGCAAAGTCCTACATATCTGAAAAATATTGAACGAAAAATGTCACTGCTTAGTAACATTTCTAAAATTAGCTTCTTCAAATTGCGCACAGATGTGGGAATAATGAATACCTGTATCTGAACTGTTCAATGTCGTAAAGTAAACATCGTCCACCTTTTTCTCCACATGTGCTTTTCCAAAGTAAACATGTAGAGTCAATTAAATTACCAAATAAAATAGGAGCAGGTATGTAACCGAACAGTCTAAAAATGACAAATTGCATGCCTAAAGCGAACGATCTTTCCTCCTCTGAGACTGATCTGCATTAGAAACAAAAGTTAGAATGAATGTAACGATAATGTAAAATTTGAACATAACTCAAGTACACTGACATATGGAACATATATAAAGTGATAAAAATGAAACTTACCGTAACACTATCATTAATAGAGGCATCTGAGTGATAGCAACGATAAACGTCATAAAAAAAAGTAAAATTAAAAATGGAAATATAGTCCTACAAGGTGAAGTGCACGGGCCAGCAGTAGCTACTGGCACAACCGTTACTTCCGCAAATTCTGGAGCTGCCGGTGGCAACATTGTTAAGTTTCCGTGTATACCTAAAACATAAATATGGAAATTATAGAATTGTCTAACATTATCGATAAATATAATGATATTTATCAGCAGATACTTAATTATATTTATTAGCGATGTACTCTGATTTATTTTATTCTTTTACTGTACTTTGCACTAATCGCATTGTAAAGGAAATATTAGTATCGTTCAAAATAGAGCATTGACGTTCAATATACAAATAGTATGCAAAAGTTCCCAGCCAGATAGATTTTTCACCTTATGTGTAAGAACTTTCCCTGCTCATTGTATACTCGGTGATGTACAAAGAAAAGAAAAAGGAGAATTTCACACTTACATGCACAATTAGTAAAGTTCGATTTCGAACTGAAGGCAGTGCAGCCTGCATGACAAGGGCTAAAATACGTGAGACCGTTGTTTCCACAGACTGGCTCGACGTCTGTCATTCGGCACTCGCAACCGAAGTTGCACGCGGCAGTGAGATTTACTTGAAAGGGTTCCGGACCCTTTGTGCTGCTGTTAAAGTACGGTATAGTGGTCCCAGCCATTTTTACGTTGTCGCAACCGAGGAAGAAGAGGAGACCATAGCACACCAGGCATATCATGTTCGAGACGAGAACGAATTGAACTGCACCTTTCGGTCTTAATTCTAAACGTTTGAGCAAACATCCGCCAAAAAAGATTCCGATGCAGGCACCCGGTATCGCTATAGAGCCGGTGAATACACTGGCTTGACTCTTTCCTAAACTGAACTGTGTCTCCAGATACTTTGGCAGGAAAACCACAAACCCGGAGACGATTACTAATTCCATGCAAGCTCCTAGGCACGTTACTACGTACACTGGGTTACACACCAACCTCCACATACTCCTGGGGATATCTGAAACAGAGAGATATATTTATGTTTAATTATAACTTTAATTTTTGATCATTTTTGATAACGTATAATATTTATTAAGGAAAACTCTTGTAGAGCGAATAATTAAATCTCTGTTGTAAAATTTCAAGAATAAATAAACGCTTACCCTTCACATCTTTGCCGTAACCACTATCATTTAGTTTCTCCTTTTTCGGTTCTTTGCATTGCTCTTTCTCTTTCTGCGACGAAGATTTAGCTTTTTCGATAATTCGTATTTTTTCTTTCTCCCGTTGCAGAGTTTTCGGGAAACTGAAGAACGGTATTGCCACTAGAATCAGGAGTAAACCACAGAGTAGGAAACCACCCCACCACATGCCTACCCATCTGTGATCACCTGGATCTGTAGAAGAATAATTTTATCTTAAATAATATCTCATAATTTTGAGTACAGCCAAATATCACTAGTAAAACTGCAGACTTTTATGCATCTGGTACATTTCTATAACCGTGTTCATACAAATATGCAGTCACCTTATTAGACGTATTTCATTACCTATACTGATGATTGTTCCAGAAAATGAATCCATATGAAACGATAACAGATAAGCTCCAAGAAGAAAACCTAAAACCGGCCCAAAAGCTGCCATACTATACATACAACCTAAAAGAAACATAAGAGCTGCTTAATAAAATATTCTTATACGGTAAATCTTAAACCTTTCGAAACGGTATATTTTCTTACCGATATACAAAGAAGCACTTTCTGGTCGTACGTGATCATCTATGTAAGTAGTGCCGAGGGTAAATAAAGGGGAACCACCACAGCCTAATAATAACTGAGCAAGTACAAATAACATAACAGGACCAGCGGTAGATGGAGATCCCTGAATGCAATTATCACCTCTTAAATTGTTGTGTGGTGCTAAAGGCGGAGACGATAATCCAGACGATAAACGACCTATGAAGAAAGGATGATACTTTCAGTTTCTGTGCAAATGTTATTTTTAGACATTACTCGACGACAATGTGAATTTCGTTGATATTTGACATTTAAGGAGAAATAAATTGATAAATCATGTAATCAGCATTAAGTAATTCTCTTTTTTTCTTCTTTTTTTTCAAATTAAAATTTATATTCTTTTAGCAGGCGAACCACGAAATTCACATCTCTACATGTAACATTATTCGTCGTTTCACAATTCATTAAACTCTCACCTAGTCCCATATCTTGTTCGCGTAACGAAACACCGCGACAAATGTTGTCCGAGCTAGAATTGTTTGCAGCCGTCATTAAATTGGGTTCGGCTGTGAAGTGTGGTACCATAAAGATCATCGATCCCAGTCCCATTATGACGGCGCCTGGAATGACAATAATTAAAAAATATTTCATATAATTACCTTGCAGACACGCTTATCTTATTAGAACTTTAATATCAATTTGATCGAAGTACGATACTTGGTACCAAAGAAAGCAAGATATGGGTACTGTTTAAAAACTTACAAAATTTCTGTAAAAAGAGAGCGTTGTATTAATTATCTTCTCTACTCTACTAATTCTAGTGCTAGTGCTTTATCCAACAAAGACTGGATTATCGTTGTCCCAAGTATCGAATGATCTATTTTGTAGCCACAGGGCAAACAGTCAATGTTCGTAATATTCGCTCGAAACATAAAACTGTTTGCACAATTTAATAGAACACATCTATTTTAATAAATCGACCTTATCAATCTTATGGGATAAATAGAACGCGAGAATAATTAGTGACGTAAAAACTAAGGAGTACGATATAGTTATATATTGTAATATTTACGTTAACGTGTCAGGATTGACCCAGCCTCTGCGAGAGTTAAATAGCGTTATAGATTGTCCGGAAAGTGTCTTTCTTTTACAGACACGTCTTTTACAACGACGCATCTTTATACAAACATGAAACCTAATCTGTCGAACGTTGTGATTTCTATCTTGATAAAACAAAGATGGATCGTACGTAATTCGATAAAATAATATAAAACGGAAAATGTTGCGCATCCGTTATTTCTCTATAAAACGAAAGAAACTTCTCGGACGACCTAATAGTTTCGAATACTTTTACGATGTATACTTACCAATAGCTATCCAAACAGGTATATGTCTTCGGCTACCAAGATAGCTGACGAAGATGACGGTGATGACATTTCCAATTTCGTAGGAGCTAGCAATGACGCCTGAAAGGCTGGACGGGATTTCGAACCTTTTCTCTATGGTCGTGATCACAGAATTTATGTAACCTGAACTAAGTGCTTGCTGCAGCGTGACGAGAAACGACAGAAGGAACACAAACACCTGGAAAAATCACGGGATGATCGTTCGTTAATGTGTGTTAATTGAACCTTGAGCGTCTCCGATGACGATTGCCAGTGCAAATTCGACGTGTTTCTTTATTAGGTTTCCTGTTCTAAGAAGCCGCGAGGTAACTCTTACTTCTACGACATCGCCACGTCTTGCACCATGTTCTAGCAGCACACGTTGATTAAAAATTTAATGATAAATTTGCAAATGTCTATGGTGTTTGTGAAGCGTTTGGACATATTTGGTATATAAATTTATATTTCTTGTATTTTATGTTTTAATATTAATATAATATTATATTTCTTGAAACGTAGTGAGTATCATAGCGAAATGCGAAGTGCTGCTACCATCGCAAAGAAGTTAAAAGAGCTTAACGTGGTATACCAAAGGATCTTTCTCTTTTATATAGGAAATTATGGGGGTTATAGAGAATTTACACACAAAGAACTTGAAGGTTGTAAAACGATCGAAGAAATCAAGATTGTTCTAGATTGTTTGCAAGGTTACGTACGTACATCTGTGATTACCACCACCTGCTCTACGTATAACTCCAGACTTATACACTTTACGAACTTGTACGCTTATTTACGCTTAAAGGGGAATTCACAGGTCCTCCTGCAAATAATTATTTTTTTACCGCGATATAACGTTTTCTTTATCCATGAAATATTTCGAATAAATGATAGAAGATCAATGAGAAATATCTGAATAAAAATCACGTGTATATATATATATATATATATATATATAATATATATATATAATATATATATATTAATTATAATATATTAATATAATATATTAATTTATAAAAGAATGTATACTTGCAAGTGTTTGTATATATCCTTCAAAGACAGTCAGAGATACGAAATACTTTGGTTTGTACGTTAATTTTGCCTTCGAGATGAAATATATTCTGAAGATACGTTAGAATCTATGAATAAATACGCTTATCGTCATAGACGAAGTATCAATATTATCATCTCAAATAATAAAACGTATTTCCTATGGAAATCGAAGGATAATCGAAGATAAGAAGCTTTTGTTTCTGTGTTTACGGAATTTATATTATTTTATATACGTCGATTAATATTTCGTAGAATAGAAATTTCTACCTGAGAAGGCAAAAATGTGACAGCGTACTTTATCAGAAATATGTGTTTTTTTTTTTTTTTTGCCTTGGGCAGAACAAAAGCACCCTTTATCATGTAAAATTCAGAGATACGTGTACCTGATAATATCGATTCTTTCGTACATCCATGCTGCCGAATCGAACGATAAAACCCGATTAGATAAGCAAAAGCTTTATCGATTCCATCATTGTACCCTTGAGTGCATTTTAACTAACGAAGGTAAAACGCCGCTTTAACGTAACATTATGATCTTACGATGGGAACAGGATAAAACATTTTGCTGATAATCGACGTGCTATGTTTGACAAATCAAAGCTAAAAAGCGCTCGATATGAACAGGTGTACGTAGTACATTTAGAATTTTGTATTCCCGAAAATCATGACTTTAATCATGTAAACCTACATGATTTTTACCGATGTCTGCATTAAAAGAAAAGTTAATTTACATTGCTTGAAGATCAATTCTCGGTGAATTCGGAAATTGATGTTGATAGAAAAACAAGGTAGATGCATCTTATTGGATTTGATACAAGAAATAATTTTAAATTGCGATCTTAAAATTGAACTTTCGAGTTATTTGAGAAATTCAACATATTCGGTCGAGTTTCAGCAGTTTTACAAATTTCCAACGATTGGAATATCCTTTCGTCTGATTTACAAGCATTTATTGTTGCTTGTAAAAAATTCTTCGCGACTGCAAATATAAATGAAAAAACTGGATAATCGGTAGACTAGAAGAGTTCGGCCAGATTTCTAGGCTAAACCTGTTCTCGCACGAGTTAACAAAATATCTGATTACGTTGCAATGTAAAGGCAACGAACAATAAAACCACGTCAAATGAAAACGATGACGTCTTTGCTTCGTACTCTTACGATGACTTAAAACCTTTCACAGAATGTCAGCAGCGTTTCAATGTCGTATCCTTTCGAAATGATGACTCACCGCACCTCGTTTTGCACATCCGTGTACCATATACGTAACAAATGTAAGTTGATTGGCGATTTCGAATTAATCGAATCGCTTCATTCGGAGACCGTATGACGAGAAAATGTAACACGACCCTCCCGTTTAAACATCACTCACACAAAGCGATTTTTGGAAATATCTAAATGCTGTACGTGTACGAAATTTATCGTGTGTCCTTCCAGTTTATGTAATTTTAACTAGTACAAGGATAAAAATTTGTTCAAGCAAAACAGCGTGGTACAAAGGAAAGCATACTAAAGATTACCAACGTTGAAGATTTTTTTTTTTTTTAATAAATAAATAAATAGAATTGCAGAGATTTAAAAATGTCGGTTCACAGTTGCTGGCGAGAGTACTCGATCTTTTTGTAGAAATCTTAATTTCGTCTTGATAGTTGCAGTAAATGTCTCGTAATTTTTATGTACGTTCTCACACTCGTTACGAGCTTTATTCATTTAACCGTGATAATGGAGCGTCGTTATAGCGTGAATGAACTTTTAAAATGTCTCGTGCAAGAAGCTGAAACACCTCGTAAAAGATCCCACCACAATAAGAGTCGAGATACTTTCACGAACAGCTCGCTGTTTTCAAGATAAATAAGTAGAGTTACGTGAATCGGATCTTGCAGGTCCATCGGGCGTTGCAGGAATTTTGGATAAAGTAACATTTGCGTACCTTTATTCCAGCGAATTTTTGTATAAAGGCCGGCCGGCAGCTCAGGATTCCACAGTCCTTCGAATCCGGATTAAACGGCGGAGTTTGCGCTCTCTCCTTCTCCGTCCTGTGTCGAGAGTCCATGCCAACAAGAAAAACGTGTTAAGAATTCTGCTATGGAATCGTCGGGTATTTTGGTATAAAGCGAAGGAACAAAGCGAGAAGCACGTGTGCGACTCGATTAATCCTTTAACTGCGAGACGCTGGCGACGAGGTGAAGAAACTCTTGGCGTTATTTTTAAAAGATCTAGAAAATGAATTAAGAGAGCGTGAAATTTGAAAAACGATGATCATCGAAGATAAACATCGATCTTATTCTTGCTTCTCGTTTAGTTCAAATAATTTTTTGCCGATTTATCGTAGACTCGCAGGATCTCCAGTTAAACATCGTTAAAGAAATTTCACATAAATTAGACGTGTAACGCGGAGAAGATTACTTCTGTACGATTTAATCGTAAGATTAGTAAAGATTCCCAGCGGAATTCTATTCCGATTAGATCGATCAACGTCTCATAATGTACAACAAGTTCGATCGTTTCATGCAAAGTTCGAGATTGTTTACGTTCTCGGGAACTCGACTGACTGAAATATCTTTACCTTGCTATAATGTTTGGTCGTAATCGTATTAATTTTGAATTCTTGCAGAATTTTATTATCCTCAATGATCGACTCCTGTTTAAGCCAATTGAACGTTACTTCGGATCACCAACAACTAGGCTACATCTGTCGGGTTGCTAGGATCGTCGACAGCCTACAGTCCACTTGGCGTCACTTCGATTCCTTATTTAAAGTAAATTCTTCGTTCATCGCGACGCGACGCGTCGTTCTTAAAAGGAAATCCGGCTATCGCGCTCATCGTCCTAGCTTTTCACAATCTTCGTCTCGTGTGCAATTACTTGCGAAATTAGAGCGTAGAAAATAGCCTTAGAGTGCCTTCGAACGTAATTTTAGTCCAATCCCGGCGATACAGTTAAAGGATTAAAGAAGACGATCGATTCGATGGGAATATAATACAAATTAGAATGTTGTTAGTCGACTTTGCAGGATTTTGTTAGTTGATCGTAATCGTCTCACTTTTCTTTTCTCTTTGATTAATTGTATCGTAAGTGATAATCATGCCAGCTTTACCTGTCCACCATGGAAGCACTGGGATTCCTGCTGTGACATTTGATGATAAAATCTCTGAAAAAGTGTAAGAAGAAGAAACAGCAAGCATGAATAATACTGTGCTGAATGATGCACCGTGATTGCGTGCATATGAGTTAGGACAGATTGAAGTTAACACAGAAGTATGCGTATTGATCTTTGGAGACATAACAAATACAAGATAGTAATAAATATGACTAATATAGATTATACCGTATAGCGATATAATTAATAGAAATTATACAGGTAATTGCTTGTTGGTGTACTCTGTCGATAAAACAGATATACGTATTTTACGCAGAAGATAATTTCAATTATTCAAGTACAACATAGATACTACTATGAAAACATTTCCTGCACAATTAAATTCAAATTCGCTTTAATAAAAATTGTAGCTTCGTTATCTCAGTTTTTTCTCGTTATCGTTAAACGAGAAAGACAAGATAAAAAGGAAAAGATACGAAAACTTACGTCCTTATTCGCTATACACGTTCCGTTCTACGCCTCCAAGAGATCAAGATACTTCAAGAATTGTAATATATACAAGTAGTGCATTCAGAGAAACATCGAATTTATTTACTCGTTTTAACACACCCTTAAAACCTGATATCATATCTTTACAATTATTCTTGCAACATATTCGAAGATTACGAGAGAAGAATTTTCCTATTATTTTACAAAGAAACGATCTCGTATTACTAAAATCTCCTGTATATTTCGTTTTTGCGGCTAAACTCGTGCATCCTTTTATCTCCACCAAAATTTCCAAAATATTGCTCGTTTTCATAATTATGTTTTTCCTTCCGTGGAACTTTGTCGATGTATCAGGCGTATTTTTTAGAAAATTTACTCCTTTGAATAGAATAGCTTGTTTTCATTTTCGATTATGACATGTTGCGACATCGACCATGTTAATATTAAAATTCTCCTGTCTGGTCGTAAAACGACAGTTCGATCGGAAGATGGTGAAAAATACTTTCACCGTATCTTTCTCCATCTTCGTTTTTAAACGATACGCTCGTCTATCTACTCTTTAACGCTGTCCCTAACTTCATTTAGGCGAATAAATTTATGATAACAGGACTCGTAACAGGATGTGCCTATGACACATATAACACTGTTACAAAAGAATCTATTTCACGAATAACCGTGTCATGGTCAGCTTGGTGCTTTCACTTTTCACGTTTTCGAGGGTTACAGCTTGCAATTTTTACCACGGTCGTCTAGAAACCATTTGTGTATGTAAATTCGCGGATGGACTGACCGTGCTGCAGAAATCTCCGATTGTGTAATAGAAAGAAACGCCATAACATTTTCACGACTCGCTTCTTAGCGTCTCGCTTTCTCTTTTTCGACTTCGTTCGTGACAATTTTGTTCTGTTCCATGTCATTCCCCATTGTTATTTATAACACAACGCGTACATTGTAGCCGATGACGTATAACCTCGGAAGTTTATTTTTTTTTTTTTTTTATAACAAACGAGCGAGAAATGCTTCTAAGTCTCTGGAGCGTGGAATTCACAGTGAAAATCGAAAAAATAAACATAAAATCCAACTATCCGCAGTTGCTTCGAGTTTTTCCTCTTTACGCGAATAATAACAAATAAAGCTAAGTAAGAAAAGATATAATAACAAGAAAAACGTATGAGATTTTTTATCAAACTTGGTACTTTCAAAAACCTTGAAACTACGACGCTAAAAAGAAGATAGAACTGCGTTTTTCTGATTACTGGCCGATAATTTCACCGATATTGAACGATGAAAACGATTCCTATAGGACGAGCGAGATTCTTTCACGTTTTCCATGCGCCGTTCGTGCCAAGTGATACAACTCAAGTTCAAGCCCGTCAAATGTTACAATTTTCATTTGTTATACACACTGATAAATATTGTAATAAAGAATTTATATTCTGATAATAGAAATACGAGTATCGTACATATCTTTCTCCATATACTACGGTCATAGATTCGCTAGTTCCTAACAGTTGCTAGTAACAGCGATGTTAATTACCGCATGACGACGTTATTTTTTAACAAGATCCGCAACAAAATGAGTATCCCTCGTGTCGTATGCGTCAGTTATGCTCACCTATGGTCCACGAGGCCAGAACTGGGATTTCTACTGTGACACCTGATGACGGTGTCGTGAGTCAGTCTGCTACCGGTTGCCTGCAGTGGGTCTGTGGTTTCGTCGGTTCCCGTGGCCGCACTCTCCGCGTACAGCCCAGTCATAGCGTACATGCTTTCGTTCCTTCGATGTCCGGCATGGTAATTGCTGCCAGACTCGGACCTGGAAATGCAATAGACGATCAACGTGTAATTTGGAAGTGATCCATTAAGCTTCCACTCTTGTTCTTGTTGACCTCGATAAAGCGGCCATCCAATCGTCCGCTACATACGTTGTAAATTAAGCGTCCAGGTCTGGCGTTGTTGCGTACAAGATCAAGGATTCAGGAATTGGCCAATTCTTCACGGACGATTAGTAATTGGGAATTTTTTCTTTCGTTTCTTTTCTCTAAAGACGACTCATAAGACGACAGAATACGTAAATGAGTGAATCGAGTAAATCTCATTGGAAGTCTCGGTTTTACTTTCTTTAAACATTAGCTAGGTTTAAGTCGATAGTTGTGATAATTGTGACTAATCGTCGACTGACTTTATACGTTTTATGTTTAGAAAATAAAAAAGTTTATCGACTGTCGGACGACTTTGTCTCTCGTCGTATTTATCTTGCGCGTTGAATTTACGATGATTCGACCATTTGATCAAAAGATACTGGTCTTCTTTTCGGAAAGTTTCTTAATAATTCTGTTTCGATTTGGCTTGTCGATGGACCGGCAAATTTATAGATTTTATATCTAAAGTGTCTCATATTTTTATGGAAATAGACGAGGAAGTTCTGAATGGTATCAGGCAATACTGGTAGCAGATACCTGGCAATTTATTCCTATCGAGATGCGAATCTTCGATATAGTTCCGGCTGCAACTCGTGTGATTTCTATTCACTTTGATGTTTATTTTAGCTGATCGATGGAAAGAAACGCGTAAGCTTTCGCGAGTGTCTATTTTCGTACGATTGTCGATGATTCGATCGATTGCAGTGGAACCTGAAGTCATCGTTGTAAGATCATCGTGGATCATTAGCATATGAGCACGCCAAAGTCCTCGGATGTTTCTCAGTTAAAAGTCAAGAGGAGATCGCAAGGAGAGGCAGCGAAGGTCAATTAGATGTTTCTGCTTCCTCCATTTTTCATGAGGTTAAATTCGAAGATCGATGATTTACGTCACTTTCAATTTAGAGCGAACCAAGAACATTTGCAACGAGGCTCGCGTATGATTATAAAATTTGGAAAACTATGCGAGTCTCTTCGATCAGAGTGAAAATTAATAGCGACGAACGAAAGCTATAGAATATTTGTCGAATAAGAACGAGAACAATTTTGTCATAACAATCGTACTTTGATATTAATTCTTCCAATATTTATACAAATTTATTCGAACATTAAAATTGTCCGAATTTTTAAAGCAACCTCTTTCCGAAAGTTAGAAAATTCAATTTCAACGATTTCAAGTGATGATGAATCAACGTCAATAACGAGCTACTGAAATCGCGAACGTTTCTACTTTATAAATCTTTTATTGGCGATTTGCTCGCGACAGTTTCAAACACCAGATTAAAGGAAACATCGATTACAACGTTTTATGAAAAGGACACTTACCTTCCGCTTTAGGAAAAGTGTTGATAATTGAACTAAAAATAAATATCAATTTACTGTCCTTTCTATGAAGCAACCTCTACATTTCCGATACACATTTGAGAAAGTTCTATTCGTTGGATATAAAAAACGACAGATTGGGTAATCGTCGTTTATAAATAAATTCCTGTTTACCATTTACGCTACCTTTGCGAAACTTTCGATCAGTGGGTTAAAAAAGTATCGATCAGCTACCCTTCGTCTGTCTGAACGAACCTTTAAAGGTAGAGTTATCGTAATATGGACAAGTTAATTTTATTTTTAGTAGCCGATGGGTAATTAACTCGTAACGATAAAAATAGCGTTTGTCGCCAAAACAATCGAGAAGGGTTAACACCGAGAGAGGAGTTCGTGCGCTGATCAACGTAAATAGAGAACGATTGGGCTACCTCAGCACCCTGGACTCCTGAATAAGCTTTCATTATCTACGTTGCATCTTGCTCTCGATACATAGGCAAAATTTAATTAAAACGAGACGTACAGTTTATAAACAGAAAATGAACAAGAAAGAGGATCGAACTCGTACGCCTAAACGTACGCTGCTCGAGACAAGTAATAATACCGTAGAAAATAGCCAGGAATATTCGAAGATAGTAAATGAAAGGAATATTTGAAAAAATTTAATTAGAAACTCTTTCGAGGAAATAAAAAAGAGAAAAATAAAAAAGGGAGAGATTTTCTCTTAATTTTGAGGTTTGCGGTCCGAGTCTCGTACAACAGGAAATTCGTATAACTCGGGGAACGTTATACGGTATACTATGTACTTGTGGTAAGTATAAGCAATAATCTTAGACATAATAAAACGCGAATACCACAGGACAGGAAGTCGGTTGCGTGGTCGCAGGCGCAATTTCTCGGTTCCTGTCTTGTTAACGAACAAGAAAGGGAGAAGACAAACAGAATCCTGGAAGCCCCTGAACGCCGAACCTCTACTTATCTAAACATTACACGCAGAGCTCCAGTCGGAGGATCATATTACTTTACAACCTAACAAGAACCTTCCCCTGTGTTATTTGAATTTTTTTCGCCCCATCTGAGGGGATAGCTCTGCAATACCAGCGCCCGCAAAAAATCCATATCCACGTCCATGGTTCTCTCTGATTTAAACATTAACCCTTCGAGCGGTCCAAGGATACCGCGAGTTTATACTATTTGGTTATACTACTGCATTTTGGCATAGATGGCAACGAGCCACCTGTGTTCTCTAGTTTCCGCTTGTCGTGGCTGCTGCTGCTTCTTTGAAAGAAAAAATGAAAACGGCGAGAACATATTATGCGGGAATAGCGGACAAATTGTCAAAAATGATTATGCGTAAACGACAGCCACCGTGTCGCAATTCTCGACGAAGAAAAGGTACACGAAAGGTATGGAGAACGTAAGTTTCCCATAGATCTAACACTGTCGTGTAAATATACGATGTATCGCTGGATGAGCGATGCAAAGATCGTCAAAGGGGGAAGGAATCAAAGGGGATTGTAGATGCAGCGACGGATTGAAAACACGAACGAACGAGGAGCCTTCGTTTACGAGAGAATCGAGTTTGGAAACTTCAACTCAGGTTGGCGCGTATTTAAATTTCGGTGAGACAGAGTAATGGGAAAACGGTGATAAGCCGATGAGCAATGTAATAAAAATGATAATAAAGAGACTGCCTTTTTAATATTAAAAAGTCTTAAAATTGATAGAAACGTTCGCGCTGTTGAAAGTTCAACAATCGAGATTTAAACTTTCAGTCGTTCTAAAGAGTTTGGCTATGCGTCTACTTATTTAAATCACAACGTAGGATTTCAGCGTCGAAGGATAAAGACTAACCAAAATTCGGACGAAAGATTCGATCGATAGGAGTTCGCCTAAACAAGCTGCGAGTCCCTGTTACAAAAATAAAAACACGTCTACCGTTTCAAATGATTGTCCCATAAAGGTAAAACCGAGAAGTCTTATAACAAGCGTGAGAATTCACACCCGTAGACCCTGAAAAGCAGTTTTTCCACCGCGTTCTTCCAACGTAAGGCAAGGTCCCCTGTATATTACATTAGACTCGCAAGAAGAAGGGAAGGAAAGCGTATTAAGAAAAGAAAAAAGAAAGGAAAGAAAGGAGAAAAAAGTAGAGAAGAGAGAAAGGAGCTGAGACTCTCGACTTGGACGAAGGTAAGCAGCAGAGAGGGCAGGCAAGGTGGAGTTCGAAAAGGCGAAAATCACCTTTTGTGGCCGAAACCACCGCCGCTGCTCTCGTTCCTCTTGTGGCCACTCTCGGATCGTTTGTAGCCAAAGGCACTGGATATGCTCTCGGCGCGTTTGTGACCGCTCTCCGAGCGTTTGTGGCCGATAAAACCGCCGCCGGATTCGGTGCGTTTGTGGGTGAACATGCTCGAGCTCGAGCCGTTCCTCTTGTGCCCGCTGGTGGACGCCATTTCTTCCTTGTCCGCCACTTCTTCGCGGCCCTCGGCTTCCTTTCTACCAAGATCGTTGAATTACGGCTCAGCCGGCGACATTTTCGAACGAGTTGCCTGAAACCAAACCGATAATTCTCTGGTTAGCCTATTGCTCGATTTTATTCTCCGTCTACTCGAATTCCCATTGATTGAGTCTCGTTCGACGAAGGTTTCGATATTTCGTCCCAAATTCTCTAGGGTTCTGAGATATAATTTTGGCTGTGCTTACTTTTATGGGAATATTTATAAATACTTTTTACGTATACTCTTTATCGTATATACACTGTACATATTTACGTGCCACTTACCACGCAATGAAAAATTTATTTATAATCTTTACCGTATAAAAATTGTTTTCTTTTTTTATGGAAATACGAAGAAAGGCCATAGGCTATTCGATTATCATTGCGTTTGTTATTAGCGTCGTATAAGGTTCTGACGTTCTAAGGTAACACGATATAAAATTAATTTTAGACATCTGACAAAGACATACGTATATTTTGAGTGTTTCAAAATCTGTACTAAATGGATAATTAATTATACGACTGAAACGAGAATCGCTAATAAGAAATATAAAAGAAAAGAACAGGACTCCGTTCTTGCGTAACGACCGCGATGATTTTCCAAACCAGCGGAGAACGATGAACTCTCTAGCTAAACTAAATTAAGAGAAACAAAGTTTTCAGTACTTGGAAATTCTAACGACGTCACATCGCCCGTCTGTCTGCTGAAACTAACGCGACGAAGATTGTCGCGAACAAAGGAAGCTCGTGACGTCTGATAAAAAGAAACTACGCTGTAACGATATCATCCTGTTTTTATTCCCTTTATCTACTGCTTCGTTTCGAAACGGCCCGCCATTAGTACTCTGCTCTTTATTTTAAAGTCTATTTATCGGAACTATGTCGTTAGAAGTACAAAGGTAGCGAATAGCGACGCATCGTCGAGGAATACGAAATCCCAGCGACCGTTTCATCGGTCGTTTCGTCGCGTGTGCATATTATACGTCGAAGTTGCGCGCCAAAGTTTATCGCTGGGAACAGTTTTGCTCGTCGCACGATGTCGCAGTAGAGAGAACAGCAGATACAGTTATACCGGCGCTGCCTTCGTTAACGAAGATGACAGCGTTTCTACTTGTGAGCGAGCTCGCGTTGTTGAACGGCCCTGACCTTACCAGAAGCAGGTTCGTTGAACTGTTGAATACAGAGATGTCAATTGATCGTATGATCGCGTCAAACGCTGTCGACACGTGGATTTCCCTCCTTCGATGCATCGTCTAGGCTTTATTTATATGTATAAACGATCAAATTAAATCGATAGTCGCTTCGTTAGTAGGCCGTGGCTTCTGCCCATATGGTGGAAAATAGACGCGTGCAGTGGCTCGCGAAAGTATTCCAACACTTGCGGATATTTTTTACGAATATGCATACATACGTGTGTGTCATATGTATAATATTTTGCAATTTTCTCACTATACTACAGTGACATTCAACCATCAAAATTACACGTATAGTGGTAAAATTTGAGAGAGATTTGAAATTTTAGAACGAGATTAAACAGTTAGCTGTTGCGACCTGTTTGAAAACTTTGAAAAGCGCGTACCGAAAATGTGTCGCAGAAAGTAAGCAACGATAGAAAACATACTCGTCAAACACAGCGTTGTTATAATATAGAGTTAAGTTGTAACGAAAGGATCGTTTTATTTTTTAATTTTATTACCGACAGGACTCGTCGTAAGGCAAAATATCGCCGTTTCTTCGTGACGAGTATACTCGTCAAAAACAGTTCTGGTTAATATCTCTGTTCGGAAGAAATTTGTTGCGTATGTCGAGTTACCGTTCGCGGTAGAATCTTCGCGAATTTTCCTACTTTGAAATTTCTATCCTTTACAATCTTTAGTCTTCCTACAAGTTTCCCATTTCTATCTCCTTCTTCCGCTTTGTACAAGACAGAAGCTCGTTAAAACAAGCAAATACGATCAAGGGAATACGTGTTCACTTTTCCAGAGATTCAGACTGATTACAACCGTGATATTCTTTGTCTCTATCGTTCGTCAATCTCTTCTTCGTCATTCTCTTTTTTAATTCAACGTGTTCGCTCGTTACGCAATTAGAACGTGTCGTTCTAACGTCTAAACGTCTTAAGCGTAGAGGAAAGTATTTGGTTTTCCAGCATCTCAAACTGCCTTAAACAGTCATCAAATTAATCGACGCAAAACCCAACGCAATTCCACCGAAGCCGAAGAATGTTACCGTTCGCAAACAATTCTACTTTCGCAGATAACCTCGAGCCGAATAACTCAGTTTGTGATTCCCGAAGTGTCCATCCACAACGAATCGTTGTCGTCCAAGTCGTTCCTGTCGCAAGAGCACCGACTACCAGACGACGAAAGTTTCGAATTAACTTGTGCAATTAGCTCGTTACGTAAACGGTGTGCGGTTCGTTTCATCGTGGCAGGAATTGATTAATTTGACGCGAATACTCGAGTTCCGACTTAACGGACTTCCGTGGCGAAATCGCGCGACGAATCGTCTCGAAGAGTCGGACAAAATTTTACTCGGATCAGACAGACAAAGGGTAAAAGTACAAACGTGGTACATGTTTTCAAGCTTCGTCGCACGTTTTTAGGAATTTCGTCCGCTCTTTGATTAATCAGACAAAAGAAACGAAACGAATAAAAACATTGGTAGAAAAGATCAACTTTGTACAGTATTTTAGTAAATACGAATTTTTAATACAACGATACGAACACAGAAAGAATCGTTTTACTTTGCTATTTCCGTAACGTTCGCGAATTTCCATTATTATTAAACACTGGCGTGCAGCGTGCCGTACAGATTGCACGTGAACGATAAAAACGTGCAACGTTTCTGAACGTCATTTCTGAAACTCTATATATTTTTACCTTTCGGTTATCGAATTTGAATCTTTGAATCCCACGCTTCAACCTTAATTCCTCCGTTGACAATACGAACGTAGATGATTGTGAAAAATTCAAATACCCGTCGAATCTTTGTTCTTAATTACATCGATAAAACGGCCTAAAAGACAAGGATTTTCGAACGTTATATTTTAAACTTCCTTATATTAAAAAGACAAAGTAATACATATATTCCTTAATAATCTTCATCGTAGGCAAAAATTAATCGAACTTGTTCGTTCCAAGTTCGTTTTGTCTGTCCAAGAACTTTCGTAATTCCGATGAAACACGAAAGGCTAGCGATAATTATTTATCAACGGCAAGAGATCGACGACAAATCGATCATCGGTATCACCCACGAATCGACCACGAGACAAACATTCCCAAACGCTATTTTAGACACGTTAGGATACCGTGTTTCAGACATGTTTCGCAAAAGAAAACCGTTCACTTTTAATTAACACTTTACCGACCGCTAGCGGTTCAACAGCATACGCACGTCCAACCGGCAGCTCAGGCGCAGATTCTCCTTGGCGCCGGCTCTCCGATGCCATTCTTCTCGTTCATCGCGAACGATAAGATTTCAAATTGGTATAAAACTGTGGGAGTTTACGAAGCAACGCAGCTGACGCAATTGAGCAAGGTATCTTAGTACTAAATAACAAATTACTGCTCAAATAACGAGAAAGATTGTCGGTGACAAAAAGTCGATTAACAGGCTATCGGTCGGTAAAGTGTTAACATCGCGCTTTCGTACTACCACATATTGGGTTGGCAACTAAGTGATTGCGGATTTTGTCAATACCACGTAATGGTAAAATGCGCAATCACTCAGTTGCCAACCCAATAGCTCCTATTACTGCGTAACGACATCATCACGGGTTGTACAACGAAAAGAGGCGGAACTCTATACTATACCGATCACCGCATGTAAAAAGACGAAGAAAATGTGATTGTAATCTGGAAAAGAAAATTTTGCACGAAATATTCAAGAAAGCCGGTCGAAAAGAGGAGCAACAAAATCGTTAGCGTTTTACGTTAATCCCTTAGATCACGCCACCACTCTGTTATCAACATCCAGCACTCTTTATCCTTTCCACGAGCATGCTCCCCCGAACGTATTAAAAGTACATAGAAAACAGATCGATCGTCGACTAACAAGTTAAAAAACAAATTCTCCTGCGTAACAGCGTGCCGATGAACGCGTACAAGCGACGAAGACACTGTTATACATGCAGCTTCGCCTCCTCGAAAGTTGACGGTCGCTTCGTCCCTATCCGCGCCAACACATACGGAGCATATTTTTCGCAGCGCGTTTTTAGATTATCGACCGGCCACGCCCTTGATTTCGTACCGATGAAAAATTGAAGCGTGGTATACCGTACGTGCAGCATAGGCTGACTAACGAATTCAAAGTCAGGGATACATCGTAATGATCCGCAGGTATAGCGAGGCACGCGTACCACCGACTACAACCGTATCAGCTGTTGACGCTGCATCGACTTCCGGCGAACTTCGGACTGAAATATCGTTCATCGGCATTGTGCGATGTAACGCGCATACATACTTTTGTCAGCCATCGCGTTACGTAAGAACGTAATTTTTATAACAAGTTGATCACGATCGCCATCGAATATGTATCGTATGGATGCGCGTAGAAGATTTCGTTTGTTTTATGTTCACGGTCAAATAGATAGATCGTTAGATTTCCCTTTATGTTTGAAATGTTCTGATGACGATGTCAATGAATTTTGAAATTAGTTTGGATCGTGTAAAATAAGAGATCCGTTATGCGAATGTTTCGAGAATCGGAAGTTCCGACGATTGAGATTTTGAGAATAGAAAAATTACAAAATCGAAGAACATCGAAGTGGCAAGTGTAAAAGGGGGAGAGGGAGGGTATTTGAAAAATTTTGTAAATTAAAAGGAGCCGCTCGGTATGGCAAAAGCAAGCGCGTCGGCGATTAGAACGGCAATCGGCTGTTGACGGCTTCATCGACTTCCGGCCAACTTCATTCTTATATCTTTCATCGACTTTACGGTAAACAGACGCGAAGCGATGCGGAAAATTTGTTCGTTGGAATATAGCGTAAAACGTTTCAGTTTCTTGTCTTTTATTAATCGCGTTTTAGCTGAGTTTTTTCTTTGTGTTTCC